TTATGAGGGTTGAAAGTTGATTATTTTGACAATTTTCATACACTATAATTCAAATGAAAATTCAATAAAAAGAATATTTTCAAGCGGGTGGAGGTGGGGGATCGAAAGAGGGCGGTCACTTGAACAAAACCCGATAACCTGACCTAACCTACCCTATTGATAAAGATATTTAAGTTTTATATAACTTTCTCAATATTTTTATGTATTTTTCAATTAGTTTTACCTCTGGATATTGTTTAAGAATGACTATATAAATATTTACATGCCTAGAAATGTTTAAAAAATTGGCATATTTATTAACTTTGAACCCCCATAACTTTTTATGGGTGTGAGACCTCCACGAATTTTTTATGGTACAGTGGTGGGAGAGATCTCCTCTTTCGATCCCCTCACCCCCCGGGGGTGGGGGCCATCATGTAGAACTTTACCCTAAAATTAAATCTGCTAAAATTAAAACTATGAAAACTAAACGAAAGAAATAAACGCCTCTTGGATTTAAATTATCGCCTCCTTTCCTGCTCTTTCTGGATTTTTTTCTTTATAATCGAGACATTATTCTGTATAAATATTCAGAAGGTGAAAAATTTTGAATTTATTGTAATCGAAAAATCAAATCTTTCAAAATTTTCTGCATTTAATTTATTATTATTGTAACATTTAAAGAAAAATTTATTATATGTATATATAATAAATATAAACATTAGAAATAAAGATATGTAACATGATTGTGATTCGACAAAGTTTATCTTAACATCAGATTGTGATGTTTGAATTATTTTATTGTAATAATGGAGCAGTTAAAATAGTAGTATTATTATTACGACAACTTTGTCGTAAAAAATCGCGTGTTAGCGTGGCTTTTGCCTATTTGTAGAATGCCAGCAACCCATTATTTTCTGCCATATTTATTATTTAATTACTCTGAAACATCGATTTAAATGTATTCCCAGAAAACAAAGAAACAACTGTAGTCGATTCTACTTAAAAACATTAAACGTTTGATTTTTCTTTTTTTTTGCGAATCGAAAATGTTGGATATAAGGACTACAGACTTGTATGTATGTTCGCGCATTTTTCAATAGTGAATACCTACCCAAAAATATATCTGATATGTGAAAGAAGGGCTGTTTATAAAACTTTTTCCAGACATCTTTTGGAAACATGTAAAAAAAAAGTAAAATCCGGTTATAACGGCGGCGAAAAAACTGACTAACGGGCGCAATAAACGGCATATTTATGAACGACATTCCGAAAAGTAGTATTAAAACTACCCGAGTAAAAATGAAAAAGACTAAAAGACCGCCGAATTATCTCCAAATGTCTAAAAACTACTATTTTACCACCGAAATAGCGCCGGTGAATACGACAAAAATTAAAAACTCTAAAATACGACCAAAATACCTCTATTAAAACGACCGAAAAAGCGCCGAAATAGCACCGAAAACGGCTGCCTACAAAAACGACCGAAAAACCACCGAAATAGCACCGAAAACGGCTGTCTACAAGAACGACCGAAAAACCGCCAAAATAGCACCGAAAACGGCTTCCTACACAGCACAAGATACAAAAATAATGATTATGGATTATTAATTTATTCATAAAGTATTTAATAACTTTTATCAATTAAAATTGATATAAGGATATAGTTAGTGATGGTTTTTGTCGTAAAAAAAATTTTATATTAATGTTTATGAATATACATATATTTATATTCTCTTTTAAATGTACAATACTTCTCAGACTTTTGAAAATTTAAATATTACATTTCCGAAAGAAGGTCATAATTTAGAGGGCATTATTACGTATACTAACTTTAATGTCAGTAGGATAACTTTTGAATAATAACATTTTTTCTGCCTATTTGCTGTGGGTGCGACAGGTGCGATGATGCATTGAATTATAATGCACAGCCACATAATTATTATGGAAATAGCAATAATAAAATAAGTAATAATAACATTAATCATAATATTAACAATAGTAATAATAGTTCAAATAATAATGATAGTTGTTACAATATTCAGAATCTTTAATACTTTATAACATAAATAAAAGTTAATTAATAATTAATCAGTTTTTGTTATTTCATGCGAGAAGAGTACTGTTCCAACGCTCTTTTAGTAGAAAAACGGCGGTTTTTCGGTGCTTTTTTGGCGGTTTTTCATGCGAGAAGAGTACTGTTCTAACGATCTTTTAGTAGAAAAACGGCGGTTTTTCGGTGCTTTTTTGGCGGTTT